GGGGCGAAGTATCCTGGGGGATGCAAATATTAAAATTAAAAAATTAAAGTGTTTTTTTTTAAATCACGAAATTGTATTGTTTGAGTCTTAAGAAGATAGAAATACATTTTCTGATTTCTCTTTATGGTCTTGCCCTTTTTAGGGTTAAAATAAGTGAAAAGTTGCAATTAGCATGTCAGAGCATTCATCTAAAATTGATCATATTCAACTGTAAAATGTTTAGTCCTGCCCACTCTGTCAAACTCAAACCAATCAAATCTATCTATTGTTCTCTCTGTCTGCAAGACCTATACAACTTCAAACTACAAAGCTTTTTAAACCAGATTCTGCACTAAATAAACAATAAAGCATAAGACACATTTGTGCATACATTATTAGTCTTAATAGTCTAAATACACAAAGAAATGTTTGCTATCTTTTACTGTGGTAAAGTTGTGCTCTTACTGTGCAAAGGAGCCAGAAATGTACTGGTGCCAATCCCGAGCTGGACTGTTTTCCACAACTGTCTCATCAATTACAATGTTCCAAGTGTTGTCATGAAGCTCGCTTATTTTCTCCTGTAAAGAACTGTTCCACAGTGATATCATGTCTGTTTCCTCACAGAGATCTCGCAGGAAGGATGCTTTGCTCTCTTATTACCCACTATATATACAGCTAAGCTCTCAATTCACTAAAAACGAAACTGAAAGTTATGAGTAGGTATCTGTTTTCTGCAACACAAGAGTGAACACTGCTTTTGCAAGTCAAAGAGACAGTGAATACGTAAGAATAAGTTACTTATGAGCAGTAATAATGTTTGAATGGTATTTATTATTTTACTGTATATGCATGGAGAACCTCCTGGATTTCCTGATGTCTAATCCAACTACCAAACTTTTATAATCTGCTTCATATGTTAATTTCATTAACACATGAAGCTGCTAACAATAATTTTTTTTTTGTCTTACTGAAATTAATCAGTGGATTCATAATCAATAAATAAATCAATTTAATTAATAGGCTGTTCAATGAACTAATAAAACGTTGAAATGGTGTGTAGATAAACATTGTGCAGTGCTTTAAAACTGTACTACAGTATAATGTATTTAACCTAAAATGATGGAACTATAACTATAACATCTATATAACTATAGGCTACTGTAGGCAATAACAACTAGCCATTTACTGTATATCAAATAATTTCAGATAACAGACCGCGGTCACACTTTTTTATTACTGAACACTCATGATCAATCTTTCTTAATTCTTAGAGAAACTGAAAAAAATATTATATATATATATATATATATATATATAAGAACTAACTGTCTAATCAACATGAACAGTGAAGAAACTGTTAGGAAAGTTACAGGAAGAAACATTTGTTATAGTTTTACCTCCACCTACTGGACAACATGATATATGCAAGGGTGCTATTGAGGTGGGATATAGCTAAGGTTACACACATACTTTGGTGGTATGGTTAGGTTTAAGGGTCTAAGGGTAGGGTTGACAGTGTAATTATAGATGTAACTACAGAAATGAGTTATCTATGAAATTACAGGTAGGTATTTTTAAATGTAAGTACAATGTAAAACTGTGTATGCACACAATAAGTGCACTGTATCAAATATTAATTTAAAAGTAAGTACATAGTTGTTAAATAGCCTTAAAATAATGTCACAACAGTCAGTGATGGGTAGATTACTTACAAATTGTAGTCTGATTACAAATCACAGGATTAAAATTGTAGTCAGTAACGTAATCTAGATTACTCATTTCAGGTAATATACTTTTGACCAAACTTGTTAACAGATTTGAATGGGATTATTGTTATGGAAAAAACTAAGATTAATTATTCTAGGGTTTCCCAAACTAGCATAAATGAAAGAACTACTCGGGTTTTATTAGTTGATGAAAAGCTAATAAATAATTAATAAAAATGTCAAATAAAAATTTATATATTAATGCATGGCAAATGTGACCATTAACCAAATTTAGAGAACTGTGAACATGTGAATGTGTTGTTAAATTATTGAAATATTAACTTCAGGGGGACTTCAATTAAATATTTTAGGCCAAAGGGGTTTGACTGACTAATTGTGGAATCCCTGCCTCACATGCCCAAACATTGACCACATCATTGCTATTTTCTTGTTTATCAAAGTCTTCCAAGTTTTCAATATTTTTGTCAGTTATACGTCAGCAGTGTTTAGTAATTTGCATAACTATTTGTCTCATACATGGTATAATTAATTGACTGAGAGGTGCTTTTGTCCCCAAATTTAGAAGCATAGATGGCAAATTAATTTACATTACAGTTACACAGCCATTCGATATTGTGAATATTCAACGCTGAATGATGTGACACAGTACAATTGTTTAGAAAGGAACATTTAAAAGAGCAAAATAGGAAGAATTAATAAAATATTAATAAATTACTGCCACTGTGTGAATAACTTGTAATCATGTAATCCATAAAAAGTAACGGTAATCTGATTATGAGCATTTTAAATCTAATTTAGTTACAAGTACAACATTTTTTGGAATCTGATTTTGTAATCCAGATCACATGTAATCAGTTACTATCCAGCATTGACAACAGTCAAAAATAAAATTTAGCGTGATTATAAAAGTGCTTGACTTCAAATAACCCACCAGATTTCCTGTCTTGGATGCTGATTGGTCAATACAGACTTCAAGTCACGCTATATCCCTCGATGTATACCGACCTCTTACTGATCTCTCATTGTTATTTTACTTGTATAGTGATGCTATGTTAGGGACTATGTTACTGATTTGAAAGAAATGACACTATCGAATGAGAACAAAACTTGAACTGAGCTGGATAATGACACTATTGTCTTTTGTAGCACTGCTTTAAAACCAAACAAGTACAAAATTTTTTGTAATCTGATTTTGTAATCCAGATCACATGTAATCAGTTACTATCCAGCATTGACAACAGTCAAAAATAAAATTTAGCGTGATTATAAAAGTGCTTGACTTCAAATAACCCACCAGATTTCCTGTCTTGGATGCTGATTGGTCAATACAGACTTCCAGTCACGCTATATCCCTCGATGTATACCGACCTCTTACTGATCTCTCATTGTTATTTTACTTGTATAGTGATGCTATGTTAGGGACTATGTTACTGATTTGAAAGAAATGACACTATCGAATGAGAACAAAACTTGAACTGAGCTGGATAATGACACTATTGTCTTTTGTAGCACTGCTTTAAAACCAAATGGAATTTGTTGATGAAGTTTGCCACAGGGTATTGTGCAAATACTGTTTCTGATACTATTACATAACATAGCCTACTACATATATTATTGCTTAATTTTTGACCTACCTTAACTTCAGTAGCAGGATGCAGTCTTAATCAATGGAAAATGAGACGCATAGTGTCTCCAGAGTAAGCTACGACAAGTGCTTAACCAGGACTTTTTTGCTGAAAGGAAACTTTCACTTTAAACGGAAAATAAGTGAAGCTTGCATGCAACGATATAGGTCGGCCCACAGTTTTTTTAATAGGCCATATATTGTGTTTCTAATTAGATATTCAGGACAAGCCTGTGTGGGTGCTAGAAACTGTTCTCCATGCAGCTTAGAGTTATGCTTCTCAAGGTATCTGCATATTTTGCGGTTTGAAATGTTAGGTTTTGATACTCGCAGAAATTTCTGAGAGAAAGGCGTTTTCATTTTCTCCAGCTCTCGGTTTAAAATGCTGTATATGCGACTCCATCAAACTCCTACTCACAACTGCCAACATCTGATGTTATCTTCGAGGCCGTGCTCATGTGAACCTTCATACAGAAGTAAACAAAATCAAGCGCTCTCTGGCATTCAGGATGGTGTGTAAAGTGCATCTGCATTAGGCTGTTTGTTTTAGTGTTAAATCAGGATGCCTGCGTTAAAAAAAATGTGTTATAGCTCTGTGTTATATTTTTAACTCCATTTAGCAGTTTTACAATTTTTATGAGATTCCTTTGTGGCTATACATTCATATGTAGTACAGAACTCATTCAAGTACAATATGTACACACATAGTGCATTAATCAGCATATACAATTGACATAACAATACACAAACTGCTGTGACTTACATTTTAAGATAAATAGTGTTAGGATACACAGAAACATTTTAGTAGCAAAGAAGAAAATAATAACTGGAGAATAACAAAATCAAAACTAATCTTCACATTTTCTGAAGAAAAAACGTGAGTGGTGTATGTGAATGCAAAACTTGCCGCCACACTCTCAAGTCTCTGGTCTCGAAATGACTCAGGTTCCTCAACACTAGTGTCAGTAAAACACTAACAACTTTTATTCCTTTTCAAACTAATTATGATCAAAGGATCAGATTATTGATTTTTCATGCCATTCTTAAAGTAATAATATGGCATGACCTCAAAACACTTTCACCATAGCGATTGAATTGTGATGTATTTGCATCACATAACAAGCTCTAAATGTATGGCATATGGCACATAGTAAACTTGCTTAGTAGCGCACCTGGTACAGCATTGCACTTGCAATGTGAAGCGCTCGGTTCAAGTCCTGTGAGACACAAGTCAAGATAAAAGAGCTCAAAGACATGTAATAGCTACTTAAAATAGCACAGTTGCTTCAGCAAATGCATTTTTCCTGATTACATGTATTCTGGATTCACTCCCATCGGCACTTTTAAGGGATTGCGCTCTCCCGCTAATTTGCCCTGTTTAGTAAATCTGGCCCTATATTACCTAAAATGTGTAATGGATTATGTTACTAACTACAACTTTTGTCATGCAATTTGTAATCAATAACAGATTACAATTTGTAATTAATAAAACATTCCACATTCACGTGCATCTGTTTTAGATCAAACTGAACGCGCTTTTAGTGCCAAAAAAATATGAAGCAAAGCAACATAATATAATTTTGCAGAAAAATAATGTTTTTTTCCAATGAGCCTGGGTTACGTAATACCGTACAAACATATTCAAGTACCTCAGGTTTCTTTATGGGGGCTTCTGTGGTTAGCACCTCTCTATGACTCAGTGTTAAACTCTGTGGCACGTTTACAGTATCATTGTGAACTCGTTAACAGTGAGAAGATGACTTATGTGGCAGTTTGTGATCATATAATTATATAATAATGATCATATAACAGTCTTAAACGGTTTAGGATTTCAACTCACTCTCAATAAAACTCCCAAATAGTATATTAGGTATACATGAGCATATATTAAAACAGACTAACTTTAGTGGACAATATGGTTTAATGAGGCTGACTATCACTTAATGGCAGGTACTTGCTGTTTATTTCTCATCCGCCCACTCGGTGGCTGTTTTTGCTGAGGGAAAATGATGGCAGCATATTCCACTCCGTCCTGGGCCTTTGATGTCGCCTCGGCAGGTTTTACTTTGTCATCTCTTTCAGGTCTGTTTTGAAAGTCTAACTCTCCATACTCCACACAGCTGACAAACACAGCCCCGGATGTCCCACACTGCCCCTGCTAACAGCCCAGGCCATGCCATACAAAACGGAAATGTAATGAGTGTTAAAGTGTTATTCAGTAGTTTAGTGAAATAAAGAGGTCGTGAACATACCTGTTGTGTTGTGTTGTTGTGAACTGGAGGGTTTTCTGCATCTGAAGAGCCATAGAGTTACAATTAGTGCATTTTCAACTTTTTCATGAGAATATGTTGGGGACTTCTTGCTATTTTAGTAAATGTTTACTTATTTTAATTTAATATTCATTAGTTTTTAAATTTAAATGTCCTTTTACAGACATTTTGTCATCTATAATCTATTATATTTTTTTCATCTATTTTAGATTTTATTTGTGACACAATGTGTTTTTAAAAAATAGGCTACTTGAAGCTGTGTCCTCAAGTTGTGTATCAAAATGATCTTCTACCATATTTATTTTCCCTTTTAAAAGTAATGAACTTATCCATAAATCATTTTATTTGATGTTTTACAATAATGAACGATCGTAAAATGTGAACCATGCTACTGAAAAAAAAAACATTTGTAGAAATCTAAAAAGCATCTAGTTGAAAGATTTTGAGCACAAGGCTTCAAAACTTCAACCCTGTTACTTTCCTGAAAACATAATTATGCGCTGACATTCAGTACCATTCAAAAGTTTAGAGTTCATAAGTTTTTCAGTGTTTTTGAAAGAAGTCTCTTCTGCTCTCCGAGGCTGTATTTATTTGATCAGAAATACAGTAAAAACAGAAATATGATTACAATTTAAAATAAAGGTTTTCTATGTGAATATATTTTAAAATGTAATTTATTTCTGTGATGTCTAGTCTTTAGTGTCACATGACCCTTCAGAAATCATTCTAATATGCTGATCATTATCAATGTTGAAAACCTGATGGATTTTTCTGGACTCTTTAGTTTAAAAGAGCAGAATTTATTTGAAAAAGAAATCTTGTCTAACATTTTTGATATCTTTACTGTCACTTATGCTCAGCTGAATGTTTCCTTGCCGACTAAAAGTATAAATTTCTTTCTAAAAAATATCTTACTGATCCCAAACTTTTGAACGGTATTGATATATAAAAAGTTCTGAATTTAGCATAAGATGCAGAGCCGATCCTCAGAGCCCCCCAGGGCCCCTTCTTGGGACCCAGAAGTCAAGGATCGGCACTGATAAGATGGCACAATGCAATTCAATAATTCTTAAAATCATTATTTGTCTCATGTACAAAATCTTACAAACATATCTTTAAAATCCCCCTGTCAGACTGTAAAAGAAATTTGATTCAAAACAATGCATAAATTCAATGCATTACCTGGTTTTCTTGGATAGGTCCTAAAAAGCCAGCACAATATCCCCACAAAGAGACATATACATATAATAACTAACGCACTGAAGAAAATGAAGAATGGCTTTTGTTCCGATGACTCCAGTTTAGGTGAATCAGTCACTATGCTTTCATGCACAGCTTCCGTTTCTTTTTCAGTTTCTGAAAGAAAAATCAGTTCGTTTTGAAAATGGCAAGTCGATATCATATTTTATTAATAGTATTAATTAATTGTTCAGTTTACTTATCTAAAAATGCAAACTGACGATTACAATAGCAACTGCAACATAATATATATACGAGTATTTCACTGAACAAAAACAATTCTAAATGGATTCTGTTTAACACTGAGGTTTTAAGAGAAAACGTACCTGCTGATTTATTACCTAATTTGACTTTAATATAAATTGTATTGCTCTCAAAAAGAGAGTTAACACCATCTGGAAGCACTGCGACATGATATGTCCCTTCATCTTCCAGTGTGAGATTTGTGATGTGTAGTGTGACAGTCCTGTTTTCCACATCACTCAGGGCAAACTTTTCTTTGCAAAGGTTGATTTCTATCCAAGTTCCTATCTTTTCCCCATTTTTGTACAGACTAGGTTTGGAGTTTCTAACAGAATCTTGAAAAGTGAAGTTAACAGTGATGCTTTCTTCCAATGTGCCATTCACTTCATGCGTTGATTGCACTGAAATAAAAACAACACTTTGTCACTTCAACAGAAATCTAATAATGGACTGTTTAATGGAAGGCTGAACTCGTCTTTATTTGTATATGTTCAACAGCTTTTTACTTTTGTGTCTGTAAAGAAAAAAAGAGCGAAAACTACACTGAAAAGCAAAAGGTGTAGCTCCGGACTCCCCTACATCATGAAAACTGTAATCTCAATCAGTCTGTGTCATGATGTTTCTTTTTAGTGTTAAAAAAACCTACTCGCTGTTATTTCATTGATGGTATGATAGAGGTATGAAACTCTTCAAAAGAAGAAAGAGCTGTTGTTTTGCAGATCTCTCTCACATTTTCCATGAGTCAAAGGAAATTTCTTGGTACTTCAGTTGCCTTTTTTTTGTACAATACTACAAATCCTTTCAATAACATTTTATGTGTAATTACTTTGGCCTAAAAACTTGACAATTTAAAAATGTGTAAAATTACTTAAAAAAACAAAAAACAAAGGCACAACTATTGATGTATTGTTCAAAATAAATTAAAATGGATATTAGGTTTATATCGTGCCTTAATGTAAGAAACATTACCATACAAATCGACAGACAGGAAAGACTAAACCCCAAAATGATCATGACCTCTTTTACTCACCGTTAAGAGTCAAGTACAACATGAATGAGAAAAGTACGAGTTTCTTCTTGAGGTCACGCTTCATGCTGCAGATGGAAGGGAGCAAATGAACGCAGGCAGCCACCGGAGATGCACACGTCTTCCCGTTTCTGCTGATTTATGCTTTGCACTCACATACTGTTTAGAAGAAAACCTACGTCTTTCAGGGGGAGGTACAGACAGGAACTGAATGTCATTACGCTTTTTCTTTACTTTTCTTTTCCTTTTGTTCACTTTCAGATCTCTGGAAACCAAAAAAAAAAAAGAAAAGTGGATGCCAAATAAATAAATGAAAAAAAAAATATATAACAATAATTATAGCAATAAAATCTAAAAATGTCATTGTTATAATAAACAGCACTTTATTATTATTATTTTTTTTTTTTAAAAAGGTGCTCTATTATTAGTCTACTGTAGGCTACTGTGACTGTAGGTCCTACATTTTTGTCAAATCATTGAATCTCTCATCACACAGTCCCACCACAAGACCACCGACAGACCACCCTGAGTTTCACAATCCCACAGACGTCTGTAAACTGCCACAAAACAGACTTACGGCTCACCGACTGCATGACATTATAACATTTAAAACACCTTTAAACAAAAGAAACACTTAAAACAACCTACCCAAACCTAACATTACGGAAAATTCCCTTGCTCTAAGAACACAGAGGAACTTTTTAGTTCAAATCTACCTGCACTGGGCCTGTGTAGCTGACCAGTTTGGTTTTACTGTGTTTGATGACTAATTTATGGCTTAATATGAATGTATTTAGGCTATTTATGTTTTTGTGGACATCAGACTTAAGGCTAGGCGAATGTATAGGCCTACATGTGTTTGTACCCCTGAAATATGAAGATCTATTAGATCTGAATGCGCTTCCTCGAAAACACGCCGAACGCGTGAAGCCGCGCCGATCACGTGTTCAAGTGAACGCACCCGACGCTCATGACGCCATCGCGTTTGACCGACCGTTCCCCGGATGAAGCCGAGTCGTTATGACAACGACCGTCGCGCAACAAACGCTTGAAGAGTTTGACTCATGGACGCCGGAGCGAGCACGTACCTCATAAGACCGAATTATAAAGACAAGTAAGTCGATCGTCTTCTCGTTTTAAACGTTGTACGATTAACTTATCTGGCTAAAACAGCAGCTAAGCTTAAGGCTGGCTTTCGGTGCTTCTAGTGTTTAACGTTAGCTTCATCTAATAGCTTTTCCCGTTCATTTCCCCGTAGGTTTAAGGCAGAGGTGGCGAAAGAGTGTATTGGAGAAGTCCTGAGGGAGCAGCTGTATGCAGTGCAGTATGATCCTGAGGAAGCTCCCGCATTATCCAGAGCTTTAGCAGACTGCATTAAAAACAAGCTGCGAGGTGAGAGGCGCGAACACTGCTCTGTTTCTGGCTGACAGACGAAGAACTAGAGGAACTCTGCTTAATTATTTCATCCATCCGTCCGTCTATCTATCTATCTATCTATCTATCTATCTATCTATCTATCTATCTATCTATCTATCTATCTATCTGTTTATCTGTCTATCTGTCTGTCTGTCTGTCTGTCTATCATCTATATATATATATCTGTCTGTCTGTGTCTATCTGTCTGTCTGTCTGTCTGTGTCTCCTTTGGGTTGTTTGTCACATATCTGAGGTTTCTACTGATCTTCTAGGCCACTTACATTGAGTAAGATACAGTCTAACTCAATGTGGTCTCATGATGTGAAACCAATATTGCAGGGCATCTGAAATCGTTGTTTGAATTTGCAGATCTGACTTGTCAATATCTTGAGCCAAAAAAAAAACCCCCTGCAGTGAAACAAAATTGTGTTTGTTATATATGACACACCTTTAGACACACATTTTTTTAATAATTTTTTTTAAATTTTATTTATCACATGACATTAAAATAAATATCTGTCTATCTAATACTTCAGACATGGTGAAATTTGGAATACAAAAGTGTAGACTTCGTTATAAATTGTTTACTTTTTATATGAAAATGTTATAAATGCAGTATTTTGAAAGCAGCACCCCAGTTTATTGTCTTTAAAAAGTTAAAAAAATTATGAGATGTTATAAGGCTAGGAAATTATTTTTAATCAGCATGATTTTGTTTAACCGCCTACGGTGTACTTGTGTATTTAATTTAAATTTGAATCTATTTCTTGCTTTTTGTTTCTCTGTTGTAGTATGCATCATTAAGTATATCTCAGTCTGTAAGGACTTATAGTTTTATTTTGTTCTGTTAATGTTGAAACGCAAAAAAAAAAAAAAAAAAACTTTAATTAAAAAAATGCCCAATGCTTTTAACCGCCTTCAGCAGTCTTTGTGTCTGAAACAAAATCATTTTACATACAACTGAACATGAAAACTGTATTTTTTAAATTTTGGCTAAACTTTGATTTTGATTGATGCTTTGAGTATTGAGTGACAGCAGATCGTTGTGTTTTCAGATGTGGGCTTTGACAGATACAAGCTCATCGTGCAGGTGGTCATTGGAGAGCAGCGTGGAGAGGGAGTCAAGTAAGCCGCTACTTCTTAGGAAAATGAATGAATTGTGAAATCAGGATGGTTTCAAATGAATCTTTAGCAAACCTGAGCAGTCGTACTGTGTTTTTTGTGCAGTAGACCCATGACCACAGACATTATCACGTGCAAAAGATGCATCCTCAGATGTTTAGCTGTGACCTTTGGGTTGTTTGTCACATATCTGAGGTTTCTACTGATCTTCTAGGCCACTTACATTGAGTAAGATACAGTCTAACTCAATGTGGTCTCATGATGTGAAACCAATATTGCAGGGCATCTGAAACCCAGAGTTGTTTGAATTTGCAGATCTGACTTGTCAATATCTTGAGCCAAAAAAAAACCCCCTGCAGTGAAAAAAAAAAAATTTTTTTTGTTATATATGACACACCTTTAGACACACATTTTTTAAATAATTTTTTTTAAATTTTATTTATCACATGACATTAAAATAAATTAGATTTAAATATCGTATTTATTTATTTTTTTACTTTTTTCACAGGATGGCTGCACGCTGCTTGTGGGATGCAGATACAGACAGCTTTGCTCAAGATATATTTATGAATGTAAGTGAGGAATCATTTTTACATTAAAGTGATTTTGAAATATGATTTTCATCTCTTTATTTTCATGTTATTTTTATGATAGGACAGCTTGTTCTGTGTGGCTGCTGCGTTTGGTGTATATTATTACTGAAGACACACAGGAGATGTGCTGAGGACCAAACATTTGTAGTTGATTTTACAGAATTTTTTGTGATATTATAATTTTTTTTATATCAATCGCATCCATGTTTGTTTGTCTGAATACCTCGCTGTATGTTTTTTTTTCCCTACATTACTGTCTTTGTCAAATTTTTTTCTCATCTTAATGCTGAAAATGTTAGATTTTTAAATAAATATCTATATAAAATACATTTTTTGTCACTATCATTCTGTATTGGTCAAGCTTTTATATATAATATTTTCACTTTTCACACATATTAATTTGATATGATTGACTGTGATATTTTGTTATATTACAGTTTTTCTCAGTCGCTTTGGTGCATTTCTCACATCACTATTTACATTTGCACAACAGTTAATGCAGTTCTCAAAACAATTAGTACAAACTGCAAAACCTAGCTGATAACCTGCAAAAGCGTGTCACTTGCTCAAAATGGATAGGCCATTCCTCAAAAGCAAGTATTCATGTCAATGAAAGTGTCAGTGTCATCAAGATGAAAAGTCCTGACACCATTGTTTATGAACAAGATAGTCAAATGGCTTTGTCATGTTTTCATTATGACAGTTTACTCTGTCAATGTTTTCCAATGCAAAAAAGTCAGAGCTTGGTGACACTACCTGAAAATGCTCAAGACAGCACTATATACACTACTTGCACAGCCATTTGAAAAATACAGTAAAGTTACACATTACTGTATTTAGTGAGGTAACTGAGTACAAGACACTGAATATGTATGTTTCACATTTTTACTGCATATGCTCTTTGCAATTATAATTTGTTCACAGCATTGTGCAAAAGAAAAAAAAATACACCCTTATTTACAACAAACAAACTCCCTTTGGGTAGAGCTGTGCACAACATTGCAGTACATATTGGAACTGAACATACATAGTACTGTAATCATTAATGCACATCCAGACGTTCCTCTCTGGCCACATAATTTCATCTACATCACAATGCATATCTCTTGCAATGCAGCGAGGAAAGTATTTCCTCGAGTGGCGAATCTACCCTCTGCTGTGATGTCATCACATGCTGCATCCATGGCCGCTAGCAGGGCCATTTGGGTATGTGGATGCCGGTCATATACCTTCCACCTCCAGGA